ACTCAGGCCAATACCGGAAGAAGAATCAGTACACAAAAATGAATGTCAATGAACACGCATGAGGAGGCTGGAACCATTGTGGAATTGTAACCTGAAGCGACGCAAAATGAAGAAAGAATGTACGAAGTGAAAACAAAAGCAAACAGGCTAATTCAAAATGACGTTTTGCGCTATGCACACCTTTAGTTCAAGGCAAAAATAAATTTCGTGTGTAGGGAAAAAATTAATAAAAAGCGTTGCCCGAGCTTGGGATCCTGTACCAAAAATTGAGTTACTACAGGCCTGTAACTGGTGCTATACAGTGTTCTGCCAATTGGTGACATGTCCCAAAAGAAAGGTGCTCATAACAAGACTTGTAAAATTATCTTAACGCGAAAAGCGACAGACCTCTCCAGTGAATCTTGAAGAGTAACTTTGGAAGATTTAAGAATGCATTTGACTGATTTAGCACCAAAATGCAAATCTACTAGGTATTGGGCGATAAAATGTAGCTTATTTAATAGAAAGTATGAAGAGCAAGATGGTATGGTCTTTTGTATGATCGTAGCCTCATTTCTTCGTATAGACATTGTTTTACTTTGTTTTCGCAACTTGGTTATATTGACAGGAAGACTTGAAGGAGCGCATTCAGTCCGGAGTCCATTGTATGCATGTCAATTTTCAGAGACAGACTTGGGCGTGGTACATTCCCAGACGTTCAGACGGGATCGTCCGTGAGCCTTGCCATTTTTACACCAGAATACAACTCGTCAAAGAGAAAAATGAACCCGATCCTTTGACCAATTATCTGCAAACAATTGTGGTATCGCTCATTCTTCCCTGGGCCATTCACCAATCCTATATCCTAATACCACCCATTTGCTGTCAAAATTTCTCATTTAAATATGGCATGGTGTGCCATTTTTTTGGTGGATTTCATGAGGCCTGTCTCAACCCCCAACTGGCTTTCTAAACCCTTCACCTCGCCCTCCTTCCACATAGGTTTTATCAAGAGTCTCCCTGTTGCCCCGTCGCATCCGTCTCCTACCGCCCTGGTTCAGGTATTTGACCCCACCCCTACCACCCTATCTGCACTACTCGAAGAGTTATTTCCCACACAGTCTCAGGCCTTTGAAGGCAAGCCTACTCAATCCTCGCTCAGTAGGCCTCTAAAAATCAGGATTCTCAAGTTTGACAACCGTTGTGGGCCCACCCACAAATGTAGTGGTTTTACTTGTTTTGGTTAGGTTCAATGTAGAACCACAACATTCGTGGGTTGGCACCCAAGGTTATATGAAGTCATAGACTTGGCACTATGGCATAGAAACACGATAAATGCCAGGGGGACTAAGGCTAGATGGATGACAGTAGGCCTGTTCAACCATAGGCGCGGTCCCTTAAGCAAAAGCTTGACCATGAGAAATATGGGGGACCTTTAGGCTCAAGTTACTCTCTCAAGCAGTTTGTAAATCCTGATTTTTAGGGGCGGGAGTAAGTGTGCCATCAAAGGCTTTAGACAGTGTGGGAGATAACGCTTCGGGTAGTGCAGATAAGGTGGCAGGAGTAGAGTGACATACTTGAACCAGTTATGTAGGAGGCAGATACTATGGGGCAAGAGGGAGACTCAGATAAGATTTATGGTAAGAGGATTGCGGAGTAAATGGGTGAGAAAGCGAGTTTGGGGTTAGGAGGGTTCTCATGAAAGCCGCTCAAAAGTGCACACCGTACCACATTTAAATAAGCAAGGAAAAAATTGTGACAGTAAGGGCATTATAGGAGGATATAGGATTTATGATTGTCTAGCAGACTATTGGTCAACACATCGGCTTCACTTGTCTCTTTGACAAGTTGTAATGTGGGGCTAGGATTAGCAAAACTAACTGACGATGCTGGCGAAAGGTCTGGGAATGTACCACATCCACGGTCCGACTGTCAACATTGTCATTCATACTATGGACTCCCGACTAGGTGCGTCCTCCAAGTCTTACTACCAATATGACAAAGTTGCGGAAACAAGGTCCAACAACTTCCGTAGTTAATTTATTTTCTAATTCCTCCCATGTTGAAAAATAATGAGATCACTAGGAAATAGGAGAGGGAATCAGATAAGAAGTCACCAAACCAGATCTGGCTGTTATGCTTTCACGGCCATAACCTGACAGAGACACACATCCACAACTTGGGCTTTAATGACTTCATTGCTATTCCATTTGGCAAGGGAATCAATGGTTGCGTAGGCAAATAACGTTCGTCCATCTAAGGCACAATGGCCCTCTTGCTCAGCTCAGCTTGACTACAGCTCATTTATCTCCGCACGAGCTATAGAGCTCGAAAAGACGAGGTCTTATGTTGACCTCGAGTATGCTCAGAAATGCGTGGAATAGAGTATAGGCAACAGATGCGCACAGGCAATTGTCACTGTCACCCTAGGCCTGAACACCTCTTTCACTTCTGAAGGTCAAAATAGTGTAGCCTTTATTTTGGTGGGGGCTTTGTTAAGCTGTATAAATGTACCGAGTCAATGATTCAGCGCTGGGAGTCATCACGACTAGTATGAGAAAGTGAGTTGATCTAGGCCACGCAAACAATACGAGCAAGTTGAAAAAGAGAAAAATACTTTGGAATCAGCTTTATTTCCAGGCTTGGCATGATTTTGACCTGGGTTTATAGAAGCCGACAATAGCCTAGGAAGTTATGTCATTCTCTTATTATTGGGAACAGTAGGAATATATTCTCATTTTTAAATTTCAACTCTTAGTATAAATGAAAAATACTATATAAAATATTTGACTTGGTATAGGTATGCTAAAGTGAAGTTTAGTATAGATAGAAGCTATCTGATCTCGTTTTCGCAACTTAGTAGTGTTGTCAGGGCTACCTAGATAGCCAAGCGACTGACTTGACTTGTCTCTTTGACGAGTTGTAGCTTGGTGCTGAGAATGGCAAGTCACTAACGCTGCAGGCGGAGTCTGGAAACGTACCAAGTTGACGCTCGAAAACTGGGAGTTGTGATAACTAAAATAGTAGAGGACCTCGTATAAGGTTACTTCAACGAGGTCTCTCTCACAACGCGACCAAGTTGCGAAGTCTAAATCAGACTGCAACAAAAATAGCCGCCACTACATCTTGTTCTTCATATCGACGTCTTATACAGATTGCTCAAACTTCGTAGCAAAGGAGTGTGTAGCTTAATACGGGATGATAGTAAAAAATGGAATGATGAGTGCCATAATCTCGAGATTATCTCCCCGAGAAGACTCTGAAAGTTGATGCGCTGATTGCGCATGCCCATGATCACTTTCAGTCAATGAAAGCCACTTCAGATAAGGACGTAGTTCATGCAAACAAATTGCGAGACCACTTTAAGGTTGCAAGCAAATCTGAGGCCCTGGCATATTGCTGTGAACTTTAACAGGAGACATTTTCCAAAGGGTACGAAAGAATCTGCTCTAGGTGGATTTCGATTCCATGAAAAAACGAAGTAGGAGTCAACGATAGAGAAGATTGTGGCAGATTAACAGAAGGCATTAGTGAATACAAGATGAAACATCTCCATGCCACTTAGAAGCAATTAAAACACTGAGGAACGATAGTCGTCATGTCAATGAATCTGGCTATGTGCACCACGAACAGGTCTGGAATTCTTTCAGAAAGGTCGCCCAATCCTAATATTTTTGCCTGCTCATTTAAGGTATCACTGTAGAATGCGGTCAGGATTTACTTAAAAGTTTTCTCCCTAAATGCACTGAATCAGATCAATCGAATGTGCCAGTTGAACTTCTGCCGCTGGCAGCTTTTGGCAGGAATGTGGTCATGAATTTTGCTCTTAAACATAGTGATCAAGCTCGCAAGGTACAATAACTTGTTCCAGGCCTGAAACTTGAGCGTGAGTGGAGGCCAAGACTCTGAAGCGCAATTCCAGCTGCCTTTTATGAACGCCGTAATCTGCAGGCTACGGATCCTAGGAATTGCCCTTGTGATGTTTGCTTGGAAAGAGGTGTCAGGGCTTGCTGCTAGGAGGCTGAGCTGGCAAGGAATCGTGAGCGGAACAGCCTCAAAGAGACTTTGGTAACTGATCATAATAGACAAAATGACGAGCTAAGACTAACTGGCCAAGGATAGGCGAGCAAAGAAGACGAGGCATCTTGGCAAATCGTCTGCGCAAGATGCAGACAGCCTCCTGCTGATCAAGCCACTTATG